TATATATATTATTTCTGGGAAAAATTGTTTTTTAATCAGAAATCAATCGCCGAAGTTAAACATTCATGTTCAATAATTTCATATTCTAAATTTTAAAAACTTTTTTTTTGTTTTACTTTAATTATATAAATTACATAAATTAACAGCAAAAATTTGAAGTTTTTTTTCGAATAATTATGTTTATTATTAACAATTCAATTTTCAAAAAATAATAGAATAATTTTCAATTGTTCTAAAAATAAATATAAGAAAATTGTTTCTTGTCAAAATGTTATTTATTTACAAAATATATTAAAACATATGCATTGATATTCTTGATTAATAAGAGAAAAATTTTATATATATTATAAGAAAAAATGAAAGTGTACGATACAGTTTTTTATAATATTTATAATCTTTTTTATACCAATTTTTATTTAGTTTTATTTTAACTACGAAATGTTAACATAGTTGTCAGCGATCGTTAATTTAACATATCACAAAAATTGAAATCCGATCAACTCATTTCCAAAATATTAATTCACATCTCAGGACATACGAGATCCATCAATCCACCACGAGAGAGAAAATCACGAATCTATGCCAAACGTTTGTGAAATTGAGGACATGTACGTTTACACACTCAAGAGCTGGAACTCTTTCCTAGTGGTATTGTGAGGCATCTCTTGTGGCGAAAGTTTATTTACAGTCTGCGAGGTATTTTCAATTCCGAAGTACACGATTTTGCGAGACCCTTGATCTTAAGAGTTGAATTTTTTGTGATGCGGCAACATCTATTGGCTAGTTCTCTTCTATAGTATATTTGGTTTCATTTTATGGGAGTTACATGTATTTTTCTAATCTTGAAAAATTTTGAACTTTAGAGTTAAAATAATTCAAATTTATTTTTTTAAAATTTAGTTATATATGCCATAAATATAGTTATATATTTTACTGTACTTTACTGTAATTTTTTAAATTCATTAAAATAATTAAAAATACATTTGTTATATATATGTTAAATAATAAAAATTTATTAATATGAAAAAATTCAAGTTCAATATTATCATAAAAATGTATGATCATGTACGCTTTTTTGATGATTGAAGGATGAAAAAGAATTTGATTATTTTGGCTTTCAGGTAAAAAAAATATAGTAGAAACAAAATCTATTATTAAATTTGGCATTTGCAATTTTAAATTATTGAAAAAGTAATAGTATAAATGTTATAAAAGTCTAATTAAAAAAAAATAAAAATCCATTAATATTGAAATTCCATTCTATTTCTATTTAAAAATGATTGATGAAAAATAAAATATTTTCTTAAATATTTTTCCATTAAATTCATATTCTCATATAAAATTTTTTTGCACTTTTAATAAACATTGTTATAACCGAATATACTGTAGTCTACTTCAAAAATAATGAATCTCTTTCTTATAAACCGTTGAATAACTTTTGAATAATAATGTAAAAATCTTTATAATACCTTTTATTCAATACACTTTAAACGTTTTTAATATTTTAAAATTTTAAAAATGGAGAAATTTTGAAGAAAGTCAACATTTTTATTTCGTTATTCAGTAGATTTTTTATAGATTAATTGTTAAAAGATTTTGAATTAAAATAATAATTATTTTTCTGATAAATTAAATGAATCCAAGAATATTACTGAATTTAAAATTGAATCAAATAATTGAATTCTTTAAAAATATATTTTGATCTATAAAAGATTATCTTTTTTTCAATTTTGGTTCGGAGATTAGGTTTTAATATTCATTGAAAATATCTCTAGATTAATAAAAAAAATTATTTTACTTATAAATTATAAAATTTCTAATTTATAATAAAAAAGGAATTTTAAAGAGTAAAATATTTTATAATCTTCATTTGTAATGAAAATTATAGTAGTTTATCTATTATCATTTTGAAAAAAATACAACATTTTGTTTTAATATAAAAATACTTTGTTATTAATTATACATTTATTATACATTAATTATATTTTTGTCATATAAGTAAATTTTTTTTTTTTCCATCACCAGATTTTGATTAAAATTTTCAAATGTTAATTTATATTCATATATATCATATATTTATATATCGTTAATATATCATAAATATATCATATATTTATATATCATTCTGAATTTTACACCAGGATAAGATGGTGATTCTGTACAATTTAAAATTACAATTTAAAATATGTTAATAAATTTCATAAGTCATTATTAATAGTCTATTCATTTTTCATCAAAGTTATTAGTTAAAATTATAAAACGTAATCTCATTATTTTTGAAACAGATTATATATACTTAATATATCTAGATAAATAATTAATCATCAGCAAGAGTCTAGTCAAGATATTAGTTATGCCACATATTATATAATATTATTATTCATTGTTACAGATATATCTCAATTTTAACGCACGTTTCAAAAAGATTTATTTGCACAAGAATTTTGGCTTTGGCTATTATGCAGAATATTATAAGTTCTTTGTAAGATTTCTTGTATTTGCTTTGTGTCTTTTGATAGAAAATTATATTCGATTGGTGAAAAACAAATGTTTATTTAATATTCATATTTACGAAAATTATATAGTATAATGATAGTATAGTATAATAGGGATAGTATAGTGATTATGAAATTATGCTAAGATATCTGAAATTTAGAGAAATAGTAGAGAAAAGATTATAATATTTTTTTAGTATATTTCAAAATTAATGATTTTACGACGATTTTATAATTGTAAAATGTAAATATTTTATAATTTTTTTTTAACAAAGATTCTATTAAAAAATATTTTAGGAATTCTAATTATTATAATTTTTCTTAACAAAACTTCTGTATATTAAAGTTACAGATATAAAAAGATAAAAAAAATGTAGAATTTCATATCCTAATTGAATGTAAATATTTATATAAAATTCAAATTAATTATGAATAATTGAAAAAAAAAACTAAAAATTTTTACAAATAACTTATTCGATTATTTTCAAGTCACATAATTTTATAATAGTTGCAAATTAATAAATTTCTCTTCTATGAAATGATATATTACCAGTCAAAAGCTAAATTTATAATTCTAATTTTATTTTTTTTAAATTATTGGATTGCATGAAATATATTAGTGATTCCAAGAATTTTTTTGTAGTAAATCATTAATTGAATTTGAATTATTGACATTTCATTTATTAATCATTCATTTTCCACCATTCTGGCATTATGTTTAAACAAATACTTTCCACGATATTCTATAAGCTATTCACCATTCTTCTCTTTTTTGCATATCTTAGATATAGAATAATTATTATCAATTAATCCTTTAAATGTTTAATTCCTTTGTAATATTTTCATGCATTAAAAAATCAGTTTGAATCTCTTGACAAATTACAAAGAAATTTCACGGTATTCGGTTTTCTACAATTGAGCAGGTTTCATGGACACCGTGATGAAACTTGATAATACAATAATGGAATAAGATAGAAAGAAGAAAGGAAGAAAAAAAAAAGGAAAAAGAAAGCGAAATCGAGGATAAGAAGTAAGTGCAATTATGTACAGAATCTGTATATTGTAACGCGGATTTGAGGTTACATAATAACTGGGTCTGGGTGAGATGGGATCAAATATATTGCAAATTGGTTCGAATCTGACTGGAAAGAATTTCATGATATCTCATGAATGCTCTTAATATTTTTGGATTCATTTTGTTTAAAAATAGATACGTTTTATTTGTATAATTCTTCAAATAATTATTGTATTTTTTACATGTTTCTTTGATGAGTTTTTTATTTTATTTGAATAGTTCTTTCTTTTATTTAAATAATAATTTGAATTTTTGAATTATTGAATAATTTATTTGAATAATAGTTAAAATTAAATTATTTTAATATTTTCTTTTAAAAATTGTTTTATTTTGCATTATTTAACTTTTATTTAATAAAATTTATTATTTGATTTCATTACGAAATTGTAAAACTAATATAAAAAAAGTGTAAAATTATTTTTTCGTGACAGAATATTATAAATTTTTATTCACCAAAGTTTTTTTATGTTTAGATCTAAATATTTGCATTTTTCTTGCATATTTCTTAATCTAAGATAAAATATTGTTTTTTAGATACAAAAAATTTGAAATAATTAAAATATTTGATAAAAGAATCATTTGAAAATAAGTTATTTCTCAAAGAAATTTTAATAATTATAATAATTATTTAAAAATATCTTTATTTTAAATGAATATATATTTCTATTTTATTTAAAATAATTATTTTTTTTTTTTATTTTTATTTCAAATAAAAGATGATCCTGATTTTGTTAGTTTCAAAATTCTATAATATATTCAAAAAGTATTGAATTATTTATTAATATTATTATTTCATTGTCTTTTTTACGGTCAAAATATTTAAAATTTAGTCATTTTCAAATGGATGAAAAAATATAATAATAATTTAAATAAATTCGATTTAAACAAGATTATTAGATTGAATTACATATAATTACTTTGAGAAGTTTAATAATCGGATCTTATAAATTTGAATCTTTCAAGTACTTTAACTAGGAGTTTTCTATTCTGTGCAAATGTATGAATGTTATAGTTTGCAATATTTCTCATAGTTTTCTATTCAACAAGTTGATATCGTATTGTATCTCTTATCTTTTAAACTTTGATTTCTTACTATTTATTTTTGTAAAATTGTATCTTTCAAATATTAAATGTATTTCTAACAAAACAAATTTCCTATATATTAATATAATATACATATAATAATGTAATACACATATAATGGAGAAATTAATATTAAAAAATATATCTCATTTTTGTTCAATTTGAAATTGAGGATGTAAAAAAATATCTAAATAAAAGAATACAAATTTTTAAATTTAATATTTTTTCTGGAACTCAAAAGTATATAATATATGTGTAAATATTTTAAATATTTTATAAATAAAATAAGAAGAAATTCTTTTTGCATAAAAAGAGTAAATTGATCGATTTTATTAAGATTATAAATTATTTCTATTAATCCAAAAAATTAAATATCAATTGAGATACTAGAAATATTATGATACTAAAATTTAAAATTGGAGTTGATCGATGTAAATTTTAAATATAGTTTAAATATAAAAATTGATCATTTCATTTATCTTGATATCAAAATTGATTTAGATTCGTAAGTATGATATTATTATCTAATATTTATAGTAAGAAAAAACAATATAAAAAATATATTCAATCTAAATAAACAATGAATCTCTAAATTGCAAAAAATCTTCTCATAATAATTACATTATTGTGATTCTTTAAATCTTCAATATCAAAATTAATTTATATTCGCGAATACAGATCTGATGCAAAAGATGAATCTCTATCTTATAAAAAATTTCTTTTCTAATTAATAATATTGTGATCTTTTAAATTTTCAATATCAAAATCAATTTTCAATGTTAAATTCGATAGTTAAATATTTAAAAAATTTTAATTATTAGAATTGATTCTATCTCCAATTTCTGATGCAAAGATGA